CAAACTGATAAACAAGGGGTTAAAGATAACATGCTTCAAGAAGCAGAGCTAGCCTAATTCTAAAAACTGTTTTGGGGTACTGACCACATATTAAGTTCCTCTTTCAATCTGCCAAATCACTCAGGCAACCTAAAATGTGTTACCATTTCTAGGGACAGTTTCATAGACAAGAAAATCATCTTGTGTTTCCTCAAGGGGGATTTTATTGTCAATAAATACAAAACACACACACACACATACATGCACACAAACTTCCACCCGATTTCATGAAGCATATTTTAAAAGCAATAGTTAACACTATTGCAAATTAACATTTTAGAAACTTTCACAATTTAAAATGAGTCCAGGAGCAAAAATCCCAAAGGAATACTTAATTAATACTCAAAAATAATTGTTGCTTAAAACCCTGTTCTTTAGCCAACACATCTCCCAAAAACAAGACCAATGTATATTTGTCAATATGATGTCATTTTAAGTGCAAACACAAATATACAAAGATATGAGGTCATTTTATGTGAAAACACAAATATATTTCTGTGTCTTACTCATCATCTAACAGATTATTTTGTCTGATCTCTTCATTTTACAGAAGAAAAAATCCTTCCGAAGGAAGCTGAGTTGAGTTGCCCAGGGTCATACAGTCATCTGTTGGCAAATCTGAAACTAAAATGTCTCCCAGGTCTCCTGATGCCTAGGCTGGATTTAACTATCTTTCATGGTTAAACCTATCTGTGCAATAAAAGTATACATATATATTTATAAAATGTACAGTGGCCATTGTTGAAAATTGTGCTCCTCATAAGTCAGATCCTCCCAAAAACCTTCACCTACCCTTCAGACTTGGTCAGCAAAACCCCTTATTCACTCTCACAGATGTATGTATTGTTTCTGGAAAGCAGTAACCACAGATGCAACTTTACATTTAATTATTGTATTAGTCTGTTTTCATGCTGCTGATAAAGACATACCTGAGACTGGGCAATTTACAAAACAAAGAGGTTTATTGGACTTACAGTTCTGCAGAACTGGTGAGGCCTCAAGATTATGGCAGGAGGCAAGGAGGAGCAAATCACATCTTACATGGATGGCAGCAGGCAAAGAGGGAGCTTGTGCATAGAAACTCTCCCTTATCAAACCATAAGATTTTGTGAGATTTATTCACCGTCACAAGAACAGCACGAAGAAGACCCTCCCCCACAATTCAATCACCTACCACCATGTCCCTCCCACAGCACATGGGAATTCAAGATGAGATTTGAGTGGCGACACAGCAAAACCATATTAATTATATAATCATAAGATTGTAAACTCTATGAAGCCAAGAAATATGTCTGATTTTGTTCACCATTATATCTCAAGCACTTGGCACAGTATCTGGCATGAAATAGATGCTTAATGAACTATTTATTGAATGGATGTTGATTATTGGTGTTGGTGACTGAAAAAACCATTTGTGCTAGGTTAACATCTTTTTCCATGTTGACAACATGGGCAAACTGTCCTGTGACTTGTGGCTGTGATGATGCATGTCAGCACTGGGGTGCTTCCAACTGGTCTGCTAAAGACTATTAATAATTTTTGTGTATCTGCCAATAGGAATCTTATGTTATTTTGTCTGTGGCTGTGTTTCCTGTCCTTCAGGGCACAGTCAAGCCCCATTTGCCTCAAGTTGTTTTTCTAATGATTTTCCTTTGCCCATATCCTGAACCAATTTCTGGTGTATCAAATTTCCATAGAAGACTGTACTCAAAATGGCAGACCGAAGCACACATGCTGATCTACAGCTCCAATTGAGAGTCTATTAATATTATAGTAATTTAAAATGTAAAAAAAAAATTTACAACAATAATAATAATAATAAAAGTATGGATGGCAAGGGACCCATCCACTGATAACAGAGCTCAACACATTTCTGAAATGTGTGAAGAGAATGGCGAGTGTTGGCCATTAAGCAGACAGGAGGCAAGAGCCACCTAGAACATAGGCAGTGAGACTGCAGCTATGGGAAGGAGACTGGAAATGACAGACATCACAGTACAGAAATGAGAAGTGAGGCAGAGAACAGAAGGACTAATATGGAGTACAGTTCTCCCACCTCCCTCCCAACTCCAGCAGAATTGCTTGCAGAACTGTGACAACCCAGCAATTACTCCAAGACAAAGATTCTTCCCCAACAAACTCTCTGGGAAGAACTAGGGCAACCACCACCGAGCTTAGAACCCTGGAACAAAACCCTGCTCATTTTGGCCTTAGGGATTCCCTAACATAATGGCTGTGCAGGGAAACCTGATGGTCAAAAAGTCCCTCTGCCCATATTCAGAGCTTCTAATCCATCTTTCTATCCCTCATTCTTCAGGATGAATGAACAATTAGAACTCAACACATATTTGAGAAAAGCGAACACAAAGATGTAAAATGTTCAAATTAAAAATAAACAACAGGTTGGGCACAGCGGCTCACGCCTGTACTCCCAGCACTTTGGGAGGCTGCAACAGACAGATTGCTTGAGCCCAGGAGTTTGAGACCAGCCTGGGTCACAGAGCAAGACCCTGTCTCAAAAACAACAACAACAACAACTCAAAAAAATTTATGAAGCAGGAAGAAAAATTTTTAAATAAAACATATTACTGAAAAACTTCTCAGAGTGATGATTCAAGAAGCTAGTCTATCCATAAAATAGTAATAGGATGCTATACAAAAAGAATCAAGGAAAATTGTTCTTGGAAATTGAAAACATAATACCTGTAATAATGAAAGGTTGATGATAAAGATGACTAAATCAGCCTGGCTCAGTGGCACAAGCCTCTGATCCCAGCACTTTGGGAGACCAAGGCAGGAAGACTGCTTGAGGCCAGGAGTTCCAGACTAGCTGGGCAACATAACAAGACCCTGTCTCCACAAAGAGTTAAAAAATTAGCTGGGTGTGGCACACACCTGTAGCCTCAGCTACTTGAGAAGTTGACTCTAGAAACGTTTTTCCACTGAGGGGCTGAGTTGTTGTGATGTTGGAACCTTAGAGAATGAAGGGTAGTCAGACCTCACCACCTGGTTCCAGATAGACACAGTTAGGATAATGTAAATGGTTATTGGTTTGGAACATTTAGAATCAACCTATGAACAAATCACAGGAGACTTGGCTATGTATAAGGAATGCAGTGTAAATGTCATATACAAATAGAAGTTCAGGTGACGAGGTTGGTAGGTAAAGTTGAAGCCAAGGTGTGAACACTTACGTCTTCATCTCAGTGAGTGGACAGCCATGAGAAACTGTCTACAATAGATGGAACACAAAATGGAGATTTAAGGTGTGAAGACATGAAGAAGGCCAGTGAAGGAGATGAGAACCATGAAGTTGCTACACTGGGAGGAGGCGGGAAAGGGACGTGGGAGTCATATAAGTTAGCTAAATTTTCTATCACTCGAGGAAATCAATAAATAAGGCCTAAAATCAGTAAATCAAGATATAAAAGTAGAAGCTAATTTTTTAGCACTGTGGAGATGTCAACCGAAAGAAAAACAGTAACATATTAAGAATCATTGCCTCGGCTGGGCATAGTGGCTCACGCCTCTAATCCCAGCACTTTGGGAGGCCAAGGTGGGTGGATCACCTGAGGTTAGGAGGTCGAGATCAGCCTGGCCAACATGGTGAACCCCCATCTCTACCAAAAATACAAAAATTAGCTGGGCGTGGTGGTGGGCGCCTGTAATCTCAGCTACTTGGAAGACTGAGGCAGGAGAATCCCTTGAACCTGGGAGGTAGAGATTTCAGTGAGCCGAGATTGTGTCACTGCACTCCAGCCTGGGTGACAGAGCGAGACTCCGTCTCAAAAAAAAAAAAAAAAAAAAACCAAAAAAAACTAGCCAGGCGCGGTGGCTCAAGTCTGTAATCCCAGCATTTTGGGAGTCTGAGACGGGCAGATCACGAGGACGGTGAAACCCCGTCTTGAGGTGGCGGGCGCCTGTAGTCCCAGCTACTCGGGAGGCTGAGGCAGGGGAATGGCTTAAACCTGGGAGGTGGAGCTTGCAGTGAGCTGAGATCCGGCCACTGCACTCCAGCCTGGGCGACAGAGTGAGACTCTGTCTCAAAAAAACAAAACAAAACAAACAAACAAAAAAACACAAAAACAAAAAACATTGCCTCAAGACAGCAAAATTAAGATAGGAAAGAGTAGAGTCCAAGATTGTTGCTTTGCAGTTCTAAGATTTTCTGTACTAATTTAACCATAGGCATGTAACATTTATAAAAATTTGAACAATTGTATTTGTAAAAAAAAATCTCAGAAACAAAGAGCTATGTGGGACATGTAAAGGGTGAAAGTGAGACAAAAGAGGACTATAGTAATTCTATTAATTACAAGGGAATCTGGGATTACCACCCACTGTGTGACTGCCTAATTATGGCTGCAGCGAAGCCCCCCAAGATTCGTGATTGAGGGCCAACGTGGCAGTTCAGCATGGAAACACGCAGAGCACACAGACTCTCTGGGAACAACTAGGGCAGCCACCTCGGAGCTCAGAACCCTAGAGCAAAACCCTGCCATTTTGGCCTTAGGGATCCCCTAACAATGGCTGTGCAGGGAAACCTCCTGGTCAGGAAGGCCCTTTGCCCATATTGAGAGCTTCTAATTCACCTTTCCTTTCCTCATTCTTCAGGCTGGCCTGGAGTCTGGGGCAGAATACTAGAGAACAAGTCAAGTGTAATGAGATAGTAACATAACAACCAATCCCTAACTAATGTCAGAGGGCGTATCTCCCACGGCCTGACATCTCAGGCCCCTGCCTCTTGCCCACTTCACCCACAGTGAGTGCACATAGAGCATCAACTTGACTGCTGTGTAAGGGAACCCGGGGAAAATGACCATTTTGCCAGTGACCCCAGTTCTGTTTGAGTGTAACCACACACTGCTGGGGGTTGAGGCTGTTGTTGGAACTGTCCCAGGTTTTACTTCCTCACTGCAATTTCCTGGCAGCCCTGCTCCAAGGCTAGCTGAAATCTTTACTCTTGCCAGAGCCATTCTCAATAAAAATTTGCTGAAGAAATGCTCGCCACCTGAATGAATGATCAGAAGCTGGAAAAATCAGTTTTAAAGAGGAGCTTAGGAACAAGCAGGTCAGCAATTAGAGGTTGGGGGAAGACTGGGAACTTGAGGTGGGTACCTTGGGGAAATGGGGACGTACAGATAACAACTGCATTCTCCTCCCAGTCTTTTTCTTTCTTCTTCTCCTCCTCCTCTCTTTAATCCTGCTTCCCTACTTCCCCTTCTCCCCATTGCCTTCTCCTTCTTCTCCTTTTTCTTTTTTTTTTCTTGTTGTCATTCCTTAACTCTCCTCATTTTTCCCTCCTTTCTTGTCTTCCTTTGCCCCTGGCCTGGGCTGTGAAGCCTCCTTCAAGATCACCCCTCCTGCTCCACTAGTTTTCCTCTGTGTTTGCAATTTACATGCATTTGCCCCTCCTGTGTACATAATGCTAATGCTTTACTGTATTTGCATAATGCTCCTAGACCTTCCTTCTGGTCGTTTCTCCTCCAGACTATCTTTTTTTTTTTTTTCCGTTTTCTTTTAGAAATTCCCGCAGAGGGAGAACTGGTTCCATCCTCCCTTCTCCCCACTAGCTCCTCCCCACAACTCCCTGAGGTTAGATGTTTCATAGTGATAGTAGCATGTGTCACTGAGCTCTTCCGCAACTGGAAGCTTTTTCCCCCTCCCTTACCCCATTTGAACACTCTGAGTGAGATTACTTCAGCAATAATACCACATGTTAAGCGGAATCACTGTAGACAGTATGCAACCTGGGAAGAACTTCCTGTTTTCCTTTAGTATTGTAGTTGAACCTCTGAACTATACATGGTTGAACTTCTTCTTAAAAATCTTACAAATAAGAAAACAATGTAGTGTATTTATTTTATAAATTTAAAAATACAGCATAACTATTTACATAGCATTTACATTGTAGTAGGTATATAATCTAGAGATGATTTGAAGTACATAGGAGGATGTGCATAGGTTATACACAAATACTATCCATTTTATATAAGGGACTTGAGCATCTGGGGATTTTGATGTCTGAGGGTGTCCTGAAACCAATCCTTCTGCTATATGCCTCAGATACGCAGAAATACTATGTTCAAAAGCCAAGAAAATGGTTACAGGAAAGAAAATGGTGACAGGACAACAGGCTGTTTTCATTGATACAGCAATTGCATCAAGGCAGTAACTCTAAAGGGGGGCATATTCCATGAGAAACAGAAACACATAACCTCTTTTTGTTATTCCAAATCAAAAAGCAATGATATTTTTCTTTCCAAAAGCATAAAAATGGAGTTGAAACAAGAATTTCCCTGGGGAATTTCTGATTGTCATTTTCTACAGAGAAAACCAAATATTGAAATGCATAGTTCCTTTTAAAGAGTTAAATAGCTTAGCTCGTGTATAAATAAAGCAAATCATCACTATTTTAGAAACTAAGAGCCTATGAAACTACAATTTTAAAAGCTCAAACACAACTCAGTAATTTTATTATAAAATTTGCATTCTGACCTGGTACAAATGTAAAAGGAATTTAAAAGCATCTTCAAATTGTAGAGAGCCAGGGAGAAGGGACAGGGAGATGTAAGTGTCAGAGTATAGTTATATAATCTGGTGTCAAACGGAGATCAAACATGATAAGCCTAGTATTTACCCTTAATTTTAAAGTGCTACCCTTTAATATTATATTTAACTTAGGACAAATGGAAACACTGCCATCAATTTATGAAGACTTTCCAACAAAACTGCCAGAGCCTTCAGGCTTCTCTGATAGGACAACGACGTGGCCAAGAAGTGGAAAGATCCCTGGACATTGGGATCTAGACACAGATATGACACTACAGTGAGTGTGCCATGAGGTCTGGGAGAAATCACCTAATTGCTCAGGCCTCAGTTTCCTCCATAGAGGTGTGAGGAGTAGATATTGTGCTAGATCTTAATGTTTTATCAGTCACAGATGGCTTTGGGAATTTAATGAAAGCTATGGGCCTATCCACCTCCACCCTTTTAGGGAAAATACACCTTGGTACATGCACAGAATATTTTACATGCAATTTCAGGATCTCATTTTCCGGCCATTAATGCCTCACAGGGACCATCAAGGGCTTGTAGAGCTACATCATCTGCCTGGTGCCTCATTCTTGCTCCTATGCTTGTATACTGGGCCTCCTCAGTTTAACTGTGACCCAGACTGGGCCACATCTTTCACTCTTTTGGGAACTCCATGATAGTGTTAAGGTTGAAAATATCCTTGATATAATCTTATGAAGTTTAAGGACCGGGAGTGGTGGTTCACACTTTTGGGAGGCCAAATGAGAGGATCACTTGAGGCAGAAGTTTGTGTGTGGGACCCACTCTCGGCCAGGTTGGGATATTGATGATTCTGTCCTGGTGTGGCACTGTTCGCTTAAGCGCATGTATTCGGGCGTGGGAGTTACCGCGATTTTCCAGGTGTCTGTGTGTCTCAGTTCCCGGTGCAGGAAAAGGATTCCTTCCCACCCCTTGCGCTTCCCAGGTTGAGGCAATGCCGGCGCCCTGCTTAGCTTCTCGCTAGGTCGGCGCTGCAGCACGCTGACGCGGGGCCACGATCGTGCGGGCAGCTCCCAGTTGAGAGAACCCGTACTCGCAGTTGGAAACATACAGAAAAATCACCGGTCTTCCGTGTGC